ATGTATTAAAATATATAATTTATTATATACATTGTATAATATATATGTTTAATATATAATATATATTAAAATATATAGTGTTGAAATTCGATTTTAACCGAAATAACCAAAAACCAAATTGAAAATTTCGGCTTTGGTTATTTCAATTTTTCAATAGTTCAGTTTCGGTTTTTCATTTAAAATTAACCAAATAAACCGTTTACTCACCCCCTACTTTTCATGGGTGTTTTGTTAGAATTTGAGCCTAAATTGCTCCCATTTTAGGCTGCTATAACAACTTGGAGAGAGGGGTGCCTAACACCTTCCCTCTTCCAATCATTCCAGTTTATAATCTCTTGGTTGTGTGTTTTTTCCAGGGAGAATGGTTTTCAAATCTAAAATAAGAGTCCATTTCTTCTAAAAATGGGTGGCGATTCCATTTCGTTGAACCAGCCATGAATTTCTCATAACTCACACCTCAAAAAAAGAAGTTATGTTTGATGAAAAACTTGACAAATCTGACCACAATTTCATTTAACTAACAAAAATCAAATTTCTTGTGAATCTAGATTTAGTAGCATTTTTCAAAGGGCTTGCGTCAGCTCAAGGAGAGTGGAGCGGGCTTAGACTCTGATGCTTTACAAGTTATCCGCCGAATCAACCAGGACATAAATGCCGCCCATGTGGCCCATGGGCCGATCATCAGTGACATCGTTCATCTAGCCCGGCGGCAGGCAGTTCGATCAGACTGAGAGGCCCGTTGATGTGATTGCTGCTTACTCATTCAAGATGGATGTTAACATCCTAAAAAAAAGTAAAGAAACCCCATGAAGTTGCCACTTGAAAGATCCATTGGACGAGACATTCACTAATTGGCCCAAACTGTCCGATCTTTTATGTTTTTTATTTAATTTTTCCTCTAAAGTTGAGGACCAACAAGACATCATAGAATGAATGCCCTGCTAATTTGGGCCTTGCAGGGAAGGATGTGTGGGTCCAGGAAATCTGCATTTCTGGTTATCTTTCCATTAAACGTAACCAAACACTTGCTGGCGTATCAAATACCAAAAATGTCAAGTATTGTCATAGCAGCATCTATAGAATCGATTATGTTATGGTGCTTGACCAATGACAACTTAGCGGAGTAGGCATTGAAATTTGAAAGCGATAACGTGAAAATGATTCTATATATATATATATATATATAACCCATTCAGCAGTTTAGTATAAAAATGCCCTATTCAGCCTTTCAGTACCTTTTGACCTACCTATTTGCGGAATAATGCATATAGGCATGGTTTTCAAAACCATACCGGATCAGACGGTCGGACTGAAAAAAACTGAGAACCGATCAGGTGATCGGTTTTGTTTTTTGTCAAACCGTATTTTGGCCAAAAAATATTGATTTAGTCAGTAAACCGCTGACCTGGGCATTTGAACCGTTTAACGGGTTTAAACATTTTTTCTTTTAATTTTTTGTTAGAACAACTTGAACGATCAGACCATTCGACCCAAGAACCGGACCCCTGATCGGTTCGTTCCAGAATCGGTTTTAAAAACCTTGCATACAGACATTGGGTGATTATTGTGTCTAGATTTTTCTACTACCCTAATTCTACTATCTTCAGTATCAACACAATAAAACAACTCTACTTGTCCCTAGTCATGGGCGCATGGTCAATTGTTGTGAAGAAATAGAGTTCTTATCACATGATTTGGGATAGAAGGAATAGTTAATAGAGAGGAGAGTAGAATTAGAGTAGCAAGAATCATTATTATTTTACCCCTAAGAATTCTGTCATATAGGCTCCATTACAAATACAAATACGTAGAACGTAAAACCTTCTATTTTGATTTATTTTGTATGTTCTTGTGTCGTATATACATATTTGTATTTGTATTCCTTCTAAATTAAGCAATAGATTCAGTTTGGAAGGAATACAAATACAAATATATAAAATGCAAAACCTGGTATTTTGTATTTATTTAAATTTGTACCTTTTTCAAACTGAGCCATAGGGTATAAGTGCAAATATGCAGTGTAAAATATTGCAATTACATGTATTGTAAATCTTGTATTTGCAATATATATTCATATTTGTGCTCTTCCCAAACTGAGCCATACTAGTAATACCCTTTTGCTTATCTCAACTTATCAAATTAGTATTTTTTCAACTAGGGATTAGGCGCTGAAAATATTCAAGATTTGCATTTTTAGCGTTCAATAACTTGTCACTTTCTTATTGTTAAATTAATGGTGCAAAAATTCCGTCTTTCTCAACCATTAAGCTTTAAGACTACACGCTTGGTAATGGCTGAACTAGGGATGGAATACTGAAAAGATACCAATTTGAGGATTGAGTTTTTTAACATTTACTCTTACTTGCCCTTACCCTCCACATTGCTCTCCACCTATACTATATGTTGCCAATACCTGCCTTAGTTTCAATGCAAATCATAAAAGTTTAATTAGAGTATTATATACATAAGGTTAATTTTTATATCTTTACCTATTTTTATCGGGATTCTATCCTGCTTCGCCAAGGTCGGGAATCAAAACAAAAGAAAAAAAAAATATTTACTTAGTTTTAGTTGCATACATACATGATACATGCTATTAACTATTATGAAAAAAATGTCTGATTATGATATCAAAAAGATATGATCTATACTAATAAAAATTACAATGAAGAGGTATTGGTTTCTGTAATTTTTTTTTACTAAAATATCTCTCCTCTTAAATTTACTTCATCTTCATTGAAAGGGCATAAAATGTAATTAAAAGAATACCATTAAGTATATTTGATTACCTCTCATTAAGTCTCACATTTAAGTCATTAAATAAATCATATTTCTCTCATTTAATCCAACATTTATACTTTTATTTATCATCATTAAATTCCACTAATAAATCCATACACAATAAGTATTAATAGAATAAAATTTTATATTTTTAAAATAAACATAAAAATGAAATCATATTTTTCATCTAGGTGGTGGGTAAGTAGTTCAACCCATGGTTTTGAACCGCCGTTGACCTGGATGGTCAGACTGTTCAGCCCGAGAACCGTCCAAGCAACTGGTTCTGTTTTACCCCAAACCTGACCCCTGGCAAAAAACTGTTGAAAAAGTCAATGACCCATTGACCCGGGCAATCGAACCATTGACCCATTTCAACGATTTTTTGCCTTTTATTTGTTATTATTTTATTATTATTTTTAATTTTTTTTGTCAAAATGGACCGTCTGTTCGAACCGAACGATCAGACCGTCAACCCAGAAACTGGTGGCCATAACAGTTCTATTTCCAGGTCATTTTTTAAAACCATGGTTCAACCATTTGGGTCAAATGAATAATTTCATAATGTTATAAATAAGTAATACAAATTTAGAAATACAAAAAATACTTTTGTTTATCATCATTAGATTCCACTAATAAATCCATACATAATAATTATTAATAGAATGAAATTTTATATTTTTAAAATAAAGCTAGAAATGAAATCATATTTTCTATATAGGTGGTGGTAAGTGTACTTCAACCATTTGGGTCAAATGGATAATTTCATGATGTCATAAACAAATAATATAATTTATAAATATAAAAAATACAAAAAATATAGAAAAAATTTTTGAAAAATATTGGATACGTTTCTATTGTTATATATTTGTCATATTAAAAAATAAGTATGATAAAATAGAGATAATTTTATTAATGATGGACACCAAATATACAACTTAAAACCGATAAGAAATTAAACAATTTCTTATCTAGGGGGTGGGTTAGTGGTTCAACCTTTTAGGTCAAATAGGTTAATCCATGATGTATAATTAAAATTAATTTTTTTAAATAGAATAGTACAAAAAAATATGACAATTTTGGGCACATCTATAATATTATATATTAATAATATAAACAAAACTAAGTATGATAAACAATAATTATTTTATCAATGATATAAATGAGATGCAAAGTTTAAAACCAGTTTAAAAATGAAACCATTTCAATATCTAGATGGTAGGTAGGTCAATGATCTAACATTCTGGGTCAAATGGGTCAATCTATGATGTCATAACTAAATAATGAATATTAAATATACATACATACATACATACATACATAAACTCAAAGAAAAATATATGCTTTGTATAAAGCATTTTGGTACAATTCTATTGTTATATATTCATCATATTAAATAATAAATGTGAAAATAAGAATTACTTTTATCGATGATAAAAATGGAATATATGATTTAAAATCAACCAAAAAAGCAAAACGATTTTTCCATCCAAGTGGTTTTTATATGATTTGAATATATGAATTAGGGTATATTCAAATATGATTTGATCCAAAGATTTGACCGGATCTCATAAATATTGATTCGAACCCGAATCTGATCAAAATGTCAGATATTCGAATATGATATGATCCGATTTAATTTAATTAGCTAGGTCATTGTAGGCAAGTGGTTTGGTAGGGATGCAAACAAATCAAATTGGATTTGAATCAAGGTATATTCGGATTTGATTCGATCCGAAGATCTAATCGGAACTCATAAATATTGTTTCAAATCTGAATTTGATTAAGACGTTAGATATCCAAATCTGATACAATCCGATTTAATTTAAAAAATAATAAATTATTAAAAAGAAAAAAAATATAATAGTTGAAATAAAGAAAAACAAATAATATAAATATTTTTTCAATTATTTTCATCATATAAAAAATTTTAAAAATATAATATAAATAACATATTTATGAATAAATAATAAATAATATATATTATATATAATTAATTTGACCACAATATTAAAAACCAATATTCCTTTGCGCATGCAAATGAAACCATTTGAATGATTTCGGCCGGTTCGGATTTCACCCATCTACCAACCCAGTGGTAAGTTGCAAATGACTCCATGAGGGGGGCAGGGGGGTTCATTTTGTCAAAGGACAGAGAACAAAGGATCATTTCGTAATTTAACTCAGAAAAAAAGGCACTCCATTTTTTTGCCACAACTTCGGGTGGTTCTGCCCTTTCTCTTTCTTTCGTCTGGCTTGCTAGTTTCCAGTTACCGTTCTCTCTCCTCCCTTTTTCTCCCCCTATTCCTGTATGCTCTACACTCAGCTAAAAAAATTCCTATCTCCTCTCACAATCAGGAAATAAGGACCGAGGAAATCTTCTCACTAGAAGAAGATGGGTACATTGGGAAAGGCGATCTACACCGTTGGATTCTGGATTCGAGAGACTGGTCAAGCCCTTGATCGTCTCGGCTGCCGCCTCCAGGGAAACTATTACTTCCAAGAGCAACGTAAGATCATCTTTCGGCGACCATAGATGTTATTTTGCTTACTTTATAATCCTATAATTTCTTTCATGCACTCATCCTTTCAACTCCATAGATTTCTGATTGAAGAAATCTCACATTTTTGTAAATGGTGATTCTTTAAGTTTCCAATTAGTTCATTTATTAACCATTTTTCCCTCGTAATCAAAATAGGGGCTAGGGTACTGAAATGTTCTAGGCTGTTTTGGAAGGAAATTAGGTTCGCATTTCACGTTATCCAATTGTGTTGAATGTAGATTCCTGCTGTTTAGGAGTTTGATTTAAGCCTAGGGATTTAAACACAGTCGGTTAATTATCTACTTTTGATTGGTTATTATTTATACATGGAAAAGAAATCTTTGATCTTCTGGTGTCTGATGAGTGTGGTCTTTGCGGCTGGGTCTTGCCTGTTGATTAAAATTTAATTCATTTAGCTCTTAAAAAGTGCTATTTTTTCTTAAATTTTCTCAGAAAATATAAAATGCAATTAATTCATAACATGACCCATAAATAGGGTAAGTGTCCCGTGGAACCCTACTTAATTGCAAATGAGAACTATATGCTGGCTTTATTGATAAAAAAATGCCGTATTTGGATGCACACTTGCTTCTAAGAATGTTGTTTTTAGTATTTTTATTGGACGGTTGTGGATTTCCATGACTATTGTAATTGGTTGGAAGCGTTTCAGTTGAAAGCATGAAGCTAGGATAGAGTATGCAAGGCATTTATATATATTTTCCCTGAACAGTAACATTAAAAGAGATTTCATTAATAAGAAGGTGGTGTGCAGTAGCATCTTTTGCCTGCCCAAGGCAAATGTTATAAAATTGACTCCCCCACCTCATGATCAGGTGAAGCTTAAGTTGGATGGTTGTTCTCTATGCAACCAAGTGGTATTGGCTAGAGGAAGCATGGGAAGTGCTTTTAGAGACCACAGTGTATAGGTGATAACGGCATATTCTGGTCCCATTGGAGAAACAACAGCAACAAGGGCAGAACGTATTTCTTTGCTGCATGGTTTAAGTATGGGTCACTCTCTAGGCATGGAAGGCACAAAGGTTGAAGCAGATTCAACAGTTGTGATGGGCTGGATGGACTCCACATTAGAAGGCCTTGGGAAATACAACATTACATAAGAGATGCAAAATTGTTGGCAGCCATGATGGACATCTATTTCAGATAGATCCCAAGATTAGCAAACTCTCTATAAGATGGTCTAGCCAGAAATGGGGTTATACTTATTAGACCTTCTTTGTATTGGGGATTGCAGACATTGTGCTTATCTGAAGATGAATGTTCAGCTCTGCAGAGCTGTTTGACATTGCAGAAAAGTTTTGTTCCTGATCCTTCCATTTATTAACTTTGGAGTTGGAAGGTATTATATATTATGACTATAGCCACCAATGCCCCCTCCCAAACCCTTTACCCATCAGATGTCATTTGAAGGGTCTCCTTCCACTAGAAGGGATGATAGACTCAGGGACATGATATCTATTAGGCCTGCAAGGATAGACATTACTTAATGCTTCAGTAGCATTGATTTCACCTATTGTGCAACTATAAGCCCATACCACCTGCCCTTTCTTATTTGAGATATATTCATCAGTTCTGGAGCTCCAGAGGGTTCTATATGATATTCCATCGAAATGAAGTCTGATCTCCTTGGGAAAAGGGCTATTGGATTAATCTCTCCATGGTTTGGATGGTGGGAGCAGCGATGATTGGATATCTGCAAGGAATTTCAGTTTCTGCATCTGCATCTATTATTACATGAAGTGCCTCATTGATGCCCACAATTCATCCATGTTGGGGACTCTACCTCACAAAAGCCTTGAAAGGAGAGGGTTAGATTCCCTTCCTCCCATGGTCCTAGATGACGGTGGCATGTATTTTTGTTTTATCTTTTCTGCCCCCACCCTGAGCGATTTCTTTTTTAGCTGGTTCTCTCCAAGTTTCCTCTGACTAGGCAAAGCCATCATCTGAACAGCAGAAACTGCATTACTTGTTTATATTGGGTGAAGTCACTTTGCAATTATCTTTAGTTTGGTTGAAATTTTGAGATCCAATCCATATTTTCATTTCACTAAAAGAGAGTTATTTTTTTTTTCTCATTAGGAGATGTCCTATGTCTTGAGTTGTTTATTTAAGATATACACATTAAAACACACACACATGCTACTTTGATGTTACAACATAGATATACTTTTCGTCTGTGGTTGATTGTCATTATTGAATACCATATACATTAGTTCTATCCCATATGTAAACAATCATGCCATGCATATGTTCTTCAATAATGTGATACATTGCTTAATTTAGGTTGTGTTATTGTGTTTGTTATAAAACTCTGTTTACCAGTGTATCTAACAATTACCGACCCTCATGCTATTATAGTGTCTAGACATCGGACACTTATGAATATTTTTGATAAAGCTCCTGTTGTTGATAAAGATGCATTTGTGGCTCCAAGTGCATCCATCATTGGAGATGTTCAGGTGGGGCGAGGGTCCTCAATTTGGTATGGTTGTGTTTTGAGAGGTAAGTTACATAATAAACAAACATCTCATTCCATGTATGTTACTTTCTATCAATTCTATTTTTTATGTTTTTTTCCTTGATGTATTAGAATAAGTGAAGCATAGCAACCTCTCAATTTTGGAATCTTATAGTACATGCGACTGATAAAAAAAATCATATAGTACATGTTAAAAGGTTTTACACTATTAGAGCTTTTCTGACCTAGAGGATGGATATGTAAATAAAAGTTTTGTATTTTATTAGAGGTGCCTTTTTACCCAATGTCATATTCCTTGTATTCATAACTAAGCATTTGCTCCATACCTCAATGGTCAAACCTGACATAAATGTTTTATGCTATTTTCATTTAGCTTAGCAGAATTAACACCTCAGAATGAGCTAGGTTATAGGTCAAAAGTTTGAAAATATATAGTTATAGGTGAGATGATTTAGTGGCCGTCTCTAGTAAGGGTGAACAGAAAGGTTTATAAGTGGGTCTCCTTGCCTTAATGTTTCTTTGGCATTGATAAATAGTGGTTAGAAATGGGATGATTAAAGGCTTTATGGTAGGAAGGATAGAGAAATAGTTATGTGATGCAATTTTTCTTTTGACTACTAAAATAAATCATTATGCACATTCAGTTTGCAGATGGCATCATATTTTGTCCAATTTAGGGAGAGTAACAAGGGGAGAACCTGAGAAATAGCATTGTCTGTTTTACACTCAAAAAAAAAAAAAAAAGCATTGCCTGTTTTGAATGGACCTTTGGTCTTAAGGAGCTGGAGATTGTAGAGATCATGGAGACAAGTTACAGACAGTAGGGTACCCTATTAGTGCTGACATATTGCCTCTTCATTATTTTCTCAGGTTGATGTTCTTTTTTGGCATTGATGATTTGAGGTAGGGCAAGACTCCTAAGTTGTTATAGGTTTGATGCAGGATGTTTTAGGGGCCCTTGGCCACTGTGATATCACATCAGAGAGACTAGTGCCCTGGGATCTAGAATTACTGCCTTGTCCAAATGGATCCTGAGATTTAATTCTTTTGATCTCTTCTCTTGAGCCATGTTATTGTTTCTTCATCGTTGTATTAGTCTTTCTGGATTTTTGTCCAGTCTAGTGGTCATTGCAAAGGGGATGTCTGTGTTACTATTTTGCTTCATTGTAAGTTTTTCCTGTTGCTGACCCCTCCAACCCCAACAAAGGAAAAAAAGAAACAGGAGTGGTGGGTTAGTTGCATGGCTTGGTGTAAAAAAGATAAGAGCAAGCTGCCCTTTTATGTCCTCTAAATTCTTTCTTAATGCCTTCTGTACATATGACCAGGCAAATGTGAAAATTTGTAAGTGAGAAAAAGAAAAGAAAAAACTATGAACTGGTTAAACAGAAGTGGAAAAAATTACGAACTGGTTAAATGACCCATATCACATATCATTGCAATTTGGGAAATTGTGAAAATCCAAAATAACAGAATAAATGGATATAATTTACTTTATAGTTTGGACCTAGTTTCAGTGTCAAAGCGGTTCATGTCTAGTTTCACGTAGGTAAGTGATCATGTGATGCTTTAAGCATGTTTCTTATGTTCATTATCTTTGGACATTATTATATCATGATCCAAATTGGTGGACCAGATTTTTTCACTACATATGGCCCAAATACCACATCAATGAATCAAGTTTTATAGTCCTGTTGATCATACCATATTCTTGAAGTGGGTTTTATACTTGTGGACATTAATTTTTAATCCTTTCTAGGAAGTAGGAACAGGACAAATATTTTCCAGGCTTTGTTAATAATGTCTGTTAGCTACTGTAAAATCTGTACTTATGGTCATTTATATGTGCTGCTTTATTTTTTCAATAATTGGCCTCAAAAATCATGTCAGTGGGATAATCTGTATTGTAATGGTTAGACCTTTATAGTGGAATCATTTACCTTGGCCTTAGTACTGGTGAAAATAATTTTTACGAGGATTACACCATTCAAAAATGTAATTTTTGGATTTACTATAAGGTGTATCTTACTGGAGTGCCTATAAGCCATACCCGAACCAAGAAGTGTCTAGTTGACTGGAAAATATGGTCTGATTAATGTGCCCAGCATGATTATGGCAGAAGTCCCTCTGGTTTAGTGACAATGGACCCGTCACAATATTTGCTCTTGTCCAGAAACTCTTCTTGTACGCACATGTTGGCAGGCATGATTCTTCTGTTTTTATGTTTTCCTTTCTATAAAAGAAAAAAGTTAATTATCCCTTAAAATTGGAAAAAAGTTAGTCATTATAATCTTGCCCATGTATGTATGTATTACATAAATCTATATATTCATGTTCTTGCTAATCTTTGTCATAAAATTGTCTCCTTGAGTAGGAGATGTGAACAGCATCAGTGTCGGGTCTGGAACTAATATACAAGACAATTCCCTTGTGCATGTTGCAAAATCTAATCTAAGTGGGAAGGTCTTACCAACTATTATTGGAGACAATGTTACCATAGGTGGGTGACACTATCAATCTTTAAATGTTATGTCAGCACGTAAATATTTCTGCTATTAATTTAATCAGATTTTTTTTTTGCATTACAAATCTTATGATATAAAATCTTCACCGGGCAGGTCACAGTGCTGTCCTCCATGGCTGTACTGTTGAGGATGAGGCATTCGTTGGTATGGGAGCAGTTCTGCTTGATGGTGTGGTTGTTGAGAAAAATTCCATGGTTGCTGCTGGAGCCCTTGTGAGGCAGAATACCAGGATCCCATATGGAGAGGTTTGTTCATGAACACTTTCTCCTAAAGGACATCTTGATGCTTTTACTTTCTGCAGATTGATAATATGATTATTTTGAACCTTTGCAGATTTTGTAGTTCTATGAATCTAAATTTTCCATATTGAATTTTTACAAATTATAACAAATTGGTACTACTCAGTATTTGAGTTGCCTTGTGATGTACTTCAATAATGCCTTGGCAAGACCGGCTGTTTGTTTTTCAATTCTTCTGGTCTGTCCGTGGAACTGATTTTGTAGCTTGAACCATTTTTTGTTTGAAATTGTTGTCACATGCTGAACTCCAAATGAACAGTTTAAGAGGTTTATTAAAAGGGATATCTAAGATTCTAAAGGTTCCAAATTCTAAATCAACTATTGAGGTTGATTCAGAGGAATATTGAAGGGTGATGCTTGAAAGTGGTGAACTGGGTAAAGACTATGGCCGCTTGTGCACCTTTCTCTACTAAGGACCTAATTAGATGCTGGAATATTGTTGCAAACTCGTCTTTGTCCAAGAATCCTTTTTTTATTAGTTCTATGTCCAGGAATCTTGTGAGATCAGAATGGTCCCCAGTCCCCACTTAAAATGGTTTTATCAAATTAAATTTCAATGAATGCAACTTAAGAAAATCCTGGGAACTCAGGAATTGTTAGAGTATTTAGAGATCGTCTTGGCTATTTACTCCAGGTTCATACAGCATGATGAATCAACAAGAGCTCTATTAGCAGCCTTACATGAGCTGGATTTAGTCAAATCTCTCTACTATAGGGATCTAGTGAGGGAGAGAGACTTGAAGGGTGGTAGTAGGATGAATAAAAAACAAGAAAGAAGGTTCCTGGAAGTATAGGTACATCATGATAGAGGTGCAACACTTGACTAGGGTGATGAGAAGGGCATTCGATTGGATTAAAGACCATGGATTAATTGTATTGGGGATCTTGCAAAGAGACAGGTTGTAAACCAAAATATATAGAAGTCTTCGGAGGGTGGGTAGCTGGTCTAGCTTACAGAAGAGAGGTAGTAGGTATGGTTGTATAATTACTCATTCTTTAATCATAAATCAGTGAAAACCTGGTTGTTATGGATAAAAGAAGATATATGAAGGGTGAAGTTGTACTTCCTGCAAGCAAATAATAGAAGACATGGGATGAGGGGATCAATGTTTCCCCAGGTTTTCTTGGGGTGGAAGTTGGTTGTTGAGTAGATAGACATAATATTTGGATTTTCTATATATTGATTTTTGTACTTTCTGTGTAGAAAAACATAAAGGCTGAAGCTATAGTCTGGTAGTTCCTGCCGCTACATATTAGGTATGTAATGGGGAGATAGTAGGAATAATATTGAATAACTTTTGGATGTATTGAAGGGTGAAGCTGCACTTCCTGCCACTAAATAGCAGTAAGTAGACTTCTTATTGTATTTTCTGTGTACTATAATACAAAAAATACTAGATTCGTAATTTTGCATTCATGGGAGATCTTCTCAAAGGAAATCCATCTAGTTTGTACAATTTGATCCTAAGGGTGGCACTTCCCCATCTTTCCACTGAACTTGTTATTTGTCTTTTGCAGAAATCAATCCTGGTTGTGTTTCATTAAGAAATTGTTGGGTGTTTTCGTTTTTTTTCTGAAAGAGGACCACAAATTATTGGTCCTGTACACATAAACCCTAACCTATGTCTTATTTGTAACCCACAGGTATGGGGAGGTAATCCAGCAAAGTTTTTGAGAAAGCTCACGGAGGAAGAGATAGCATTCATCTCTCAGTCGGCTATCAACTATTCAAATTTAGCCCAGGTCCATGCAGCTGAGAATGCAAAGACCTTCGACGAGATTGAGTTGGAAAAAGTGCTCCGTAAGAAATTTGCTCGCCGAGACGAGGAGTATGATTCAATGCTTGGTGTTGTCCGTGAAGTCCCTCCGCAGCTTATCCTTCCCGACAATATCCTTCCAAAAGAATCACCAAAAGCCTCATAAAGTTAGATTGTCACTGCTCAGTAAGGCAAGTAATCTTCCTTTTGAGAATTTCACGTCAAGGGATATTTGTTGTTATGTGCGGATTTATGTGGTTTAGGTTCGTTTCTTCTCTAATAATTTTTGGAACCCATCCATGTTAAGGATCAATGATGATGTACTTCTCTGGTTTGGGGCTATACTCTCTAGTTTCATCGGAACCCTGCTTCCAGTTTCTAGAGAACATAATGCTACATTGCAACAAGTACTTTGATGTTATTTTTGCCTTTTCTAAGACCAAATTGCCATTTTTTGTACCTCCTTCCAGAGCTATCATTGATCTGTTCTTTAACTATCAAAAAACGATATGTTCTTTATCTTGGGATGGTTTGGATTATGACGGGAATAATAATTAAATCCTCCGTGAAATTTTACTTGTCATATGCTGATTCCAGTACCATCCTAGTATTTTGATGGTCCATATTCCTCAAATGCAAGTATTCAAGTCACCCTGTCTAAATCAATTAATGGTAGCTGTTAAATTGATAATCTAGATTCTAGAATTCCTCAATGTATTGTTACAAAATGCCTGATTTTCTGCCTGGAGATTTTGCACAGGTCAAAATACTTTTCTTTTTGGCTTAAATTTTGTTATATACTAATGATCAAGATAAGCCATATTTGTAATGTTAGATTAAAAAGGCTGACTGAATTAGAACTTAATTAGCCTAACTCGTCCTAGTATTTTGCACAGGTCAAAATACTTTTCTTTTTGGCTTAAATTTTGTTATATACTAATGATCAAGATAAGCCATATTTGTAATGTTAATTTGGTTAAAAAGGCTGTATTGACTGAATTAGAACTTAATTAGCCTAACTCGTCCTAGAATGTTGATTTCTGGGCTATGAAGCAGCAATGTGTATCCTTGGGCCTTGAATCTTGATGCTAATGGGGGCCTGTTACAGAATTTTGGCCCAAATTAGATCCAGCCCATGAAGATAGGAAGCATCTGGGCTCTGGCGTAATCAGACTAATTACCATCCAAACTCCTTTTCTGCCGTTTGCTGAAATGTGCACCAACGCGAAAGTTTGGTATGCCACCAGTTCATAGGCTTGGCGTGGCCCAGAGCCTGACACTGTAAAATCGAGCCCAAAACCCGACCCGTGAACAGGTCCTATTAATGCCTGGGGAACCAATCTACNCCAGAGCCTGACACTGTAAAATCGAGCCCAAAACCCGACCCGTGAACAGGTCCTATTAATGCCTGGGGAACCAATCTACTCTCTACAACCATGTCGCCAGATGGAAGGTTCCTGAGTCGTTCAAACTACGGCCTACAGGGAAATGTCTGATGGGCCGATGAGCCTACCCACCATGAGTCCAAAGAGCTCAAATTCAGTAGCGCAGTTTGGTATTACTTATTAGACCTAATAGATAGGAACGCACCCTCTAACTTAGCCAGTTTGGAAGGGTTTCCGCAGTGATTGAGCTGCGTTGATTGAGCCTCTTCAGAGCAGCTATCTTTTGGCTCATGGAAGCTTTTTTTTTTTTTTTTTTCTTTTGGGCTTTTCAGATTTTTACCAAACAAGGCTTAATGGATTTCGGGGTTTCCTAGCTCTTGCAATGCCAGAAGCCGCTGCATGAAATTCCGATGTCGGTACATAATGCAAATGCAATATAAGGTCTGTATTTTACATGCTCGAAGTTGTATTCCTATTGGATCCATCTGAAATAGGTTAACCACCAACCAGCAGCAGCAGCAGATCCCAATGCCAAGATCTGCTGAGTTGTTCATTTCCTAAGTTTTGTGGATGCTAAGTAGACTTCTTTCTAAACCATCACTGGTTCCCACGGTCGCAGAGATCATCATTTGATTTCAATTTATGGTAAATGATTTATAACGAGAATATTATTAAAAAGGGGAAATATGTAGACATGTGGTACGTAAATAGCAAGTAATCCGCTTAGCAACTACCAAGTGAATTCATTCATCTTTCGGGAATAGGTGCGATAAATGGCCGGTAATAGTGCCTCTTTACCGAGCAATTAAAGCACCAACGGAGTCGGCGGGTGACAGTTCTGGTTAGCTATAGGTCCTACTTGAAACCTTTAATACGCTCACCCATTAGAGGGAAAGCAGTAGAACCACAATCCAAGAAAAGGCTCGTTGATTACATGAAATTTCTAATCCAGATATATTCCTCCTGACAAGTTGAAAATCACCAAAAATATATAACACAATTAACTTGATTACCTTAAGTAACTGTAGCATGGGCACAACACAAAATGTCTTCTATATCTGATTAAAACAGAATGTCCAATAAATTAAGTTCAAAAAAAGATGTTGGGCAGTGGGAACCAAGAACAAGTAAGGATTCATAAAAGATCCGCTGAGAAGTTGGAACTGTCATTATCCCTAAGCCTATTTCTCAAAACGATCTCTAAGTTCCCTCATAAAACAGCCGCTTCTTCTTGTGTCATCAAATATCCATTGGGGCTGCTTCTGGGCTCCTGTCCTCCTGCATAGCTGCACCTTGGTCAACAGTCTCATCTTCCTTCAACTCTAATGATTCAATCACTTCCTGTATGGTTTTCTGATCCATAATGTGAAACGGCTCCCCTACTCCAACCACGGCAACAGTGCAGATAGAGCTGGTCAGCTTCTCACCTTGTAATGTTTCCTTGATTGCAGAGAGTGCATCTTTTATCAGATCTTCCCGGGTGGAGCTCATGAAAGTCTCAAACTTGCGCTCCAAGTAAGTCTTGGCAGCTTGCGAGCGGGATCCAATGGCAAAAGCCTGATATTCAAAGTAGTTCCCACTTGGGCAATTATAATAAAGGTGAGCGCCAGATTCATCCAAGCCAGCAACCAGTAAGCCCACACCATAAGGACGTTTCCAAGACCGTTGTGTGCAAACCTGCCACCAAGAAAACAGGAAGCATAAAGCGCCATAGCCTATAGGTTTCCTCCCTCACAAGTTGCAACAAATACTCACCCAAAAAAGTCAAAACAGTAGAAATCTGCTGAATTAAAAAATATGAAAGTAAGTAGTTTCTTGAAGAGAGAAGGAGAACAAGAGAAGTTGAAAGAAAAGAGAGCAATAATCTGGCTGCCCCCTTCACTTATTATTTATACTAAAATAATAGAACAGTACAAAGACAACTATGCC